CCCCAGTGTATCCCCTAGTCTCTCTCTCTCTCTCAGACACAGACCCCCCAGTGTATACCCCAGTCTCTCTCTCTCTCAGACACTGAGACCCCCCAGTGTATACCCAGTCTCTCTCTCTCAGACACTAAGACCCCCAGTGAATATCCCAGTCTCTCTCTCAGACACAGAGACCCCAGTGTATCCCCTAGTCTCTCTCTCTCTCTCAGACACAGACCCCCCAGTGTATACCCCAGTCTCTCTCTCTCTCAGACACTGAGACCCCCCAGTGTATACCCAGTCTCTCTCTCAGACACTGAGACACACCCCAGTCTCTCTCTCTCTCTTGATCAGACACTGAGACCCCCCAGTGTATAGCCCAGTCTCTCTCTCTCTCAGACACTGAGATCCCCAGTGTATACCCCAGTCTCTTTCTCTCTCAGACACTGTGAACCCCCAGTGTATACCCCAGTCTCTCTCTCTCTCTCAGACACAGAGACCCCCAGTGTACCCCCCAGTCTCTCTCTCGATCAGACAGAGACCCCCAGTGAATACCCCAGTCTCTCTCTCAGACATAGAGACGCCCAGTGTATCCCCTAGTCTCTCTCTCTCAGACACTGAGACCCCCCCAGTCTCTCTCTCTATCAGACACTGAGACACCCCAGTGTATACCCCAGTCTCTCTCTCTCAGACACTAAGACCCCCGGTGAATACCCTAGTCTCTCTCTCAGACACAGAGACGCCCAGTGTATCCCCTAGTCTCTCTCTCTCAGACACAGACCCCCCAGTGTATACCCAGTCTCTCTCTCAGACACTGAGACACCTCCCAGTCTCTCTCTCTCGATCAGACACTGAGACCGCCCAGTGTATAGCCCAGACTCTCTCTCATACACTGAGACCTCCCAGTGTATACCCCAGTCTCTCTCTCTGACACAGACCCCCCAGGGTATACCCCAGTCTCTCTCTCTCTCTCTCTCATACACTGAGATCCCCAGTGTATACCCCAGACTCTCTCTCTCTCAGACACTGAGACCCTCAATATATATCCCTGTCTCTCTCTCAGACACTGAGACCCCCCCAGTCTCTCTCTCTCAGACACTGAGACTCCCCAGTCTCTCTCTCTATCAGACACTGAGACCCCGCAGTGTATACCCCAGTCTCTCTCTCTCTCTCAGACACTGAGATCCCCAGTGTACACCCCAGTCTCTCTCTCTCAGACACAGACCCTCCAGTGTATACCCCAGTCTCTCTCTCAGACACTGTGACCCCCCAGTGTATACCCAGTCTCTCTCTCTCTCAGACGCTGAGACCCCCCAGTGTATACCCCAGTCTCTCTCTCTCACACACCCACTCACACACTGAGACCCCACATTGTATACCCCAGTCTCTCTCTCTCAGACACAGACCCCCCAGTGTATACCCCAGTCTCTCTCTCTCAGACACTAAGGTTTGACCTTGCTCTCCTATGTGCACCTGGTGACAGTGTCCCTGGTTGATGAGCAGGGTATTGAGGAAGGGGGGAGGGGCTGAATGGCCTCCTGCTCCTGCGTAGCAGGTTCAAGGAGAGGAGGGTTGGGGCTGAATGGCCTCCTGTTCCCGTGTCCCGGAGCACTGGATCGATGGAAATGACACGGATTGTTAAACCTCCAGCCTCCACAGCGCTGCCGGACATATTGATGTGTCCGTCAGTTACAGATTAGATGCCAAGCTTTGAAGGGGTTACTAATGGCTCAGGAGGACACGATCTGCCTGAGCACTGTGGAACCCCAGCCACCCGTTCCCCCACCTACACTCAGACAGACTTCCTCTCGTCTCTGTGTCTCCCTGTTTTGCTGGAAGCCTGGTAACCAGCGAATTGCTCCTGCTGGTTTCACCTGACTTCAGTAACCACCGTTCGATAGATCGAACAGGCACATAGACAGTGCACAGCCGCAAACACCATGAAGGGTCTGCAAGTGATGACTTGGCAAATTGAATAGCCACGCAGGCTTAGGGAGCTTTATTCTGTGTCTAACCCCATGATGTCCCTGTCTCTGGGAGTGTTTGATGGGGGATCAGTGTAGAGGGAGCTTTACTCTGTATCTAACCCCCTGTCCCTGTACTGGGAGAGTTTGACTCACCTGGTCCAACTGTCTCTATGTCTTTCTCCCAAACAGTGACGTTTTTGAACCGTCCAAGCTGCCACAGTTTAACACGATATGGAGTTCCAGGCTGCAGACCGTCCAACATGAAGAAATTCTGGCTCGAGTTCACTGGCTTCGAGTCCCTCCAGTCAGCAGCACCTACACATAAACTGATTTCAACCCTGTCCCTCGGATAGTGCCCACTCCCTCGGCGCTGACCCTCCGACAGTGCCCACTCCCTCACCCTCCGACAGCGCCTGCTCCCTCACTCTCCGACAGTGCCCCGCTCCCTCACCCTCTGACAGCGCCCACTCCCTCACCCTCCGACAGTGCCCCGCTCCCTCACCCTCCGACAGCACCTGCTCCCTCATCCTCCGACAATGCCCACTCCCTCGACGCTGACCCTCCGACAGCGC